TTGGATTATAGGGCAGGCTTTGATCTTTTGCCTTGTCATTCCTTTAATCTTCATCAAAGCAGCAGATGCTGCATGTCCTGCCATCACGTACAACAGTTATAATAATAAAAAATAAATAAAATTCCAGGTGGACTTTCACTGACTCCCAGCATGACTCCGGAGACTGGAGAAAGGTAGGGAATGGGCTCTGGTACGATGTATGATTATCCTGGGGAGGATTTCAGTGTCTGTCTTAGATGTTTCCAAAGCATGCTAATTTCCCTGGATTGCAGAGACTGTGCCATCTAACGGTTTGAGTTCAAATCAAGCAAGGATCAGAGCTGGTTTCTGAAATCCTCTGCGATGAAAAGAATTTGCATGTGATTGACTCCACTTTTCCAGTACCAGTTGTGGGAAGGGACCTACAAGTGAACAAGAAGCAGGCCTACTATTGACAGCTCCTCTCCAGTGGGAGATAAGGCAGGAGTTGTCATATCCTTGTGACAGGAGGGGAAGCTGAAGTTTAGGACTGTTTAATTGCAGAATCTTCCTCCTAGTCTGGAGTAGAACTGGCGTCAATGCCAGGAAGCCTGACTGCTAGGCCTGTCTCTCCCAGAACTGAGGACACCACTGAACCCTAGAACAATTTAGGTTCAAAGGGAGTGATCCAACCTAGAGCCAACTTCCAAGTTAGATCAGGTTGCTTAGGGCCTTGCCCATTGCTAAGGCAACTTATGGCGCTCTTCGTGTCAAGAGAAAGCCCCTACCATGTGTGAAACTATGGGAGGTGGCAAATTCTCTGTTCCTAGGACAGATCTGCAATCCCAAAGCCACCCAAGGATCCCCACCTCTTGTTCAGTTCAACTCTTGACTCTCCAGATGCTCTCATCCCCCGGCAGACTGTTTGCCATGGGGGAGAGGAGCAGCTGGCTGCATTATGTGAAGTGTCTGCCTTTTCCCAAGATATCCATTGTCTGCCTGCAGCATCAGCCTCCACCCTACTTACTCACTCAGCCATGGCTGATGTGTCTTTAATTAAAGAGGAGGAATAATCTGAGATTTTGTATTCTTTTCTCTATCCTGTTTCCTATTTCCACCGAAATTTGTGGTTCCCTCGCCTTATTTTTATCTTGTCGTTTTGCTGTGGTATCTTCACTTAATGTAGCGTTTGCTCCAAAACAAAGAAGAAACAGGAAAAAAATAGCTTGTTTCGGGCTGGGAAATTACGATCCTGGGTCAGATGGCTGCTATGGTCATTAACATATTTACATTTTTGCTTAAGAGCCTGCTTGAGGATCAAGGGAGTTAAGGGTGATAGTCATTGAAATGCAGAGGAAACCTTGCGTGAAATTGCCATTAGTGTTCTATTGTTCGAGGGGGGAGAATGGCCTTGTTTGTCCCTGCCCCAGTTGTGTTGCACTTGTCTGCCCACGTAGATGGGCAGAGGCAGAAGTAACTCAGCTGAAGGAAGCCACTGCGCTGACTTGGCTGCTGGGAGGGTTTGCCTGGGGAGCACATCCTGTAGGGCTGGACCTGGGGCTCTGCGCGGCCCTACTGCCGGCTATCAGTCACTGCCTGCCCTCTCGGTGAGACGAAGGTGCTTGGCCGGGCTTGCTCGGCTGGGGCAACTGGCCATTACCGCAATCATCATGGATAAATACTTGAAGCGCCTAGTGAAGGTCAGTTTCCTGTTTTATAACTGTTGGACTCGAGTGTTTCAAGTGTGCCATCGCGTGTTGCTGTTGTCATGCATGAGGAAGCATGTTCTGCAGGACCAGCTCAGCTCCTTGATTTTTGTGGCTGGCTATGATACCAGAACCAGGGTTTGAGGCAGTTTGAGGTGTTGGAATGGGTTTCGAGTGCTGTGATGACGGATGAGGTCAAAGTGCCTTAATTTTATACACTGGAAAAAATGTTTAACTGTAAATAAAGGAGCTCTTTTACAGCTGGGGTTTACAGTAAAGACATACTGCTCCAGCTTGTGGAAGCTGTGGTCTAATCCTATTCTAAAAGGCAGGCCTTTTTAATTCAGATTCCAGCTGTTTACTGCTTGACTCTTGCTCTTCTATGCTGTTCAGATCCACCATTTTAATTCGAACCTATTTCCAATTAGTATTCATTACTTTTGGTTTTGGCACTAAGTTTATATAGTAAGGTGAAAGAGGAGAACAGGCTCCCAGACCTAATGCATTTACAGCGGCAAAAATAATAGCTGCCTTCTGATACTCCTTTGATTTGGGTGGGAGAAACCACAAGAGGAATGCTATTAGTGTGAGAGGGAAGCACCTCAGAGTGGAGACTCATTTGTGGCTACCAAGCAGGCTTCAGCTGTCTGTGTCGGTCTGGAAAGCCTGCAGCCAGTAGCAGATACAGACGGTACGATCTTGAGTGATAGGATCCTATCTGCTCTAGAGCTAGTGGTGACTGCACTGGATTCGTTAGCGTGTCCTTGTGGGCTCTTTTGAAGCGCTGAAGGCAGCTTCTGTTCTTGGTTACAAAATGTTTCTTTTTGGAATGCTTTAAAGCAGAACAAAGCATGGGGAAAATGGTTTGTGATCTGAGCAGTTCTTTTGTGCTTACAGAGCTTGCTTGCATCAACTCTGTATCTCTTCTACCCTTTCAACGGATAGCTGCATTCCCCATTGCTCTGGCTGCTGGTCTTTCCTGCAAGGTCAAACAGTGAGCACACAGCGCAGGGGGAGTCCCACACCTCAGTTGCTAACTCTGGCCATCAAAGTAGGGAGGCATTTAAGCCTTCAAGGAGCAAATGGCTTTGTTCTGGACAAGATAAGTTCTGATATCTTAAATGTCAAGACATAGTTGAAGTGGTATGGTTAAGAAAGATGTCGGCTGGGTCAAATGTTTTCAGGTAACAAGGATGAACACAGCAGTGTCTATGCGATTTCAGGTGTTAGATCGATTCGCTGAATGACTCATCTCTCTGCTTCTGTAAATTCCCCTTGAAAAAGGTCATCTCAGGTATTATGCTCATAACATGTTATTTCCTGGGTATCTGCACCCTGGGGTTAGACACTGCAAAATTAGGCTGGCTTGGGAGTCCCAGGAAGAACCAAAAAGCATCAGAGGTGAGCCTGATCTGAGAAGTTACAATTTTGGGGTTGCTGTTAGGATCTGATCTGTTAACATAAAGCCTTAGAAAGGGCTGGCTGGAGGGGGGAGGGGAAGGGCGGGGCTGAACATCTCCAGGGATTAATATTAAGCCGTTGTTTAACGGTAAACAGCTGATGAAATCCACTTTCGTGTCTGGGTGCCAGCTGTCAGGAAGGGTACATCCAGGCCAGCTCGCAAGGGCAGAACAAGCATTGGCAGATGGTAGGGGAAAGCACCCAGCTCTGACTGTCCACAGGTCACTTGATTTGTCATGTTTTCTGTAATCCACTTCCCCCAAAAGCTTCTTCATGGAGGGGATTTTCCTTTGACAAAATAGTGGGCCAGCTCTGCTCCGGCAAAGGGGCTAGGATCTCCCCTCCTCAGAAGAGACAGCATCTCCTCAGCAAAACAGCCAGAGGATCGCAGAGTCCCTCGGGAGCAGCAGGACAGAGGTTAAAAGGTGCTCAGCTAGGGCTGGAAGGAGCCAGAGCCAGACCCATGCATGTAGTCACTGGCTGAACAAGCTGCCTGTGGCTGAGGTTGGTCTGTTTTACAGCTGCTCTGCTCACTGCAGAGCAATAGCAGCCCTGCTGCTGGTGGACTGCGTCCTCTGCCCCATCCCCCTTCTCACTGGCTCCTCATGCCAAGGCTGCCAAGGTTGCCTCTGATCAAAGGCCCATCGCCTGTTCAGCTTTTGTTCTCTGCTAGGAAAGAGCGAGGATTGTTGGGACCTTTTTGGCTCTACTAGGGCCCTTCGTGTCCCAAATGTTTCCATGAAAAGACTCCGTCCTGACCACCGTGCCCCCTGACAGTCATTCAATCCAGCCAACAAGCTTGATATCATTATCTGCAAAGAGAGGCCAGGGAGCACCAGGGTCTTCAGAGCAGCAGAGAGCTGGCAGAGAATCAAACTGCACCACAGTTGGTGCAGGCTGGGGGGGCTGCTTGTGTCCTCTAGTTTTCAAAGCACTAAAGAAACGTGCTTGGTATGATGCCAGCACTGGCTTTGTCGGGGCTGGGGATGTGCCTGCTTGTGAGCTGGCAGCCCCTTGCAGTGTGCCCTGGGGAACTCTGTGCAAGTTAGAGGTCGCTGGGAGCAGTCATGCCTGGCAGTGAGTTTGAACAGCCTTGCAAAGCTGTCCCTTTTGCTCAGTGACATTTTAAGAAGACGAACTGTTTAGTCTGAGAGAAAACAGTTCTGTTTTTGAGCGAAGTGGGATTCACTCCAAATCTCACCTGGGACTTCCCTTCCAATGAGTCTGATTTACCTTCTGAAAATAGCATGCAGCTGCCACGTCATTTTTAGTTTAACATAATGTTTATCTCCTTTGCTCCCTTTCCAAAGCATTTCTTCACAATTCGTCTCAAAATAAAGATCTCTTCAGCAGTGAAAGCATTATAATTTTTTGGAAGCATCTGTAAGGTGCTATGGAAAACTGACTATCAGAAACACTGAGCCAATAAAGGTCTCGAGGAGGGATAACGTTATTCGTGTGTTGCAATTGTGTTAGGAAATACAGGAGTAAAACTGTTTTCAGTAGGTTGCGTCTCACAGACTGCATCTTCTGTTTGCTTGATGGTCCAGATAGACAGGGATGTAAAAAAGAGCCAAGAGAAACAATGATGCAGTGGAAAAGAAGGTGATAGGGACTGGCTTAACTGAAGTTTGGATTGAGACAGGCTGATGGTGTGGATGATGCCTGGGTTGCCCCTCTCTGCAGCAGAGTGCTCTGCAGTTCCCTGGGCAGGAAAAGAAAGCTGGAGGTGGGGGGGATTGTATGGCAATGCATCACCAAAGCCTAGAGCAGCCCCTGGGATGCTTATGGGTCTGCAGTGGATGGTGAAGTAGGAGGCCAGAGTTTTGTGCAACACAGAAAGTTAATTCTGCTGCTTTCCCCTCCTATCCCCAGTTTGATCCTGACAACACCGGCTACATCAGCACTGAGAAGTTTCGCTCTCTCCTTCAGAGGCACGGCTCGGAGCTGGACCCCCACAAGCTGGAGGTCCTCCTGGCCCTGGCAGACAGCAACTCTGAGGGGAAGATCTGCTACCAGGACTTTGTGAATCTGGTGAGTGCTCCAGCTGGTAGGGCCTGTCAGTCCTTTGCTCTGCTGAAAACGTTAGCTAGTGAGGGACAGCCTCTCTCTCTCTCTTTGTCAACACAAGTGTTGGCTGTGTGGCTGCATCACACTCTGCATGGGCTCTCCAAAGTCCTCAGTGGCAGCTGAGTTCTTCTCAAGCCACAAGTAAAGTTGCTGCTGATTTTTCAGAGAAACAGGTTTGCATGGGAAGTACTCATGGGAGCTATTGTAAGAGGAGCATGAGCAGCTGCTACCAGTAAATAGGCTCCTGCTCTCAAAATCAGTTGGTTGCTGTCATGAGGAGCCAGAGATCTGTCAGTCTGAATGTCTCCTGCTGTATCTAGGGATTTCACCACTCTTAAACAACAGATAATTTTGTGTGGACCTGCTGGCTAGGAGTCATATTGTGCTGTTGTAAACATCTACAGCAACAGGGATAGAGGTGTTTCTAGAACATGCCCATTTTTTCCCAGAGGAGATGTCTCAGATAGACTAGAGTCAAGATCTGGATGTGCCTCTCTATCTCTGCTGATGAGTCAATTAGTGAAGGAATCTCTCTGTTTCTCATCAAGGCAGTTTGGCCAGTCAGCCCAGATGTAGACATGTATGTTGTAGATGCCCAGTATGCCTAAAAACGTTGATTGCAGGGCAGGCAGCTGTAACAACACTCCAGAGCAGGAGCACAATGGAAATGTGACTTTATCCTGCAGGAGTGGAAGGATTCTCCCTCCCTCAGGCTGTATGTCCAGGCAGGCAGTGACATGAGGCTCCCTATCTCAGTGTCCTGTGGCATGTACAGCTTCTTTTTCGCTGCTGGGCCAGGGCACATTTCCAAGGTCTCATGCGCAACAAGAAAGTCTCCCCCACCATTTCTCTAGCAGTGGCTTTGCCCTGTTCTCCCTGTTCTTGTAATTCCCCATGTGAGTTCCGGCAGACTTAGTCAGCAGTAAGAGAAACCTGGGTGACAATAAGTAGTGAATGTCAGTGACACCTCTAAGATTTTCCCGGAAGGCTGGACAGGATCTTGCTGAAAAGTATATTTACTTGCGTTTCATTTTGTTCCCCCGGAGAGCATGGGGATTTGATCCCTCCATTTGATCTGTAGTCACTCATGCATTGTGTTCTGGTTTAGAAAGATAGATTCTTCTGTAAGTCTTGTCTCACATTAATCAGAAAAGAATGATAGCAGGGCAGAGCTGCCAAGGTTCCAGTTAATAGCTTCAGTTGGGCCGTGGTCAGTGTGAAGGTGAAATTGCTGTGATACAGGGAAGTAGATCTGTTGGATCTAATCAAGATGTCTTATTAGCTCCTTGCATGCCTGTAAGTACACAGTAAAAGAAATGAACCAACTATCAAATGGATCACAGTGAGTGTGAGTTTCCTCCAGCTCCGGTTTTTAATGAACAGTGAGGTCAATAGTACTGTGTGATCAGCAGTGTATTTATAGTAAGAGCTGCTTGTTATGGAGTTTGGTATGTTCAAAGTACCGTGCAAGCATCCGCTAATCAAACTGCACAACACTTTGGTAGCAGGGAGAGGGATCATCTAACTCCCTCTATGGAAACAATGGCCCAAGGCCAGCCAGCAAGTTGGCAGCAAGCTCAGGAATAGGACCGAGCTCTTCCTCTCCATCAGCCTCATCCTCGCTCCACTGAGCTTGGGAGCAGTGCAAGCTAATGAGAGGCAGGTGAGAGGCGTGGGCATCCTCCTCCTTTGTGGAATGGGAGATGGTCCCATTCCACACCCATCTGAAGTGATTTCTGCAGCCTGGCATATTTTCTTCACTGCTATTGAATGAATCCTGTAAAGAAAGCATTGATTTTTCTATCACCAGCCCCTCCTCATCTGCATTTTTTGCCCCCACTAATCAATAGGTAATGCAGATGCCAGAACATTAAATTACTTATAAATGGCGTTTCTTCTTCTCTCTCCCCCTCCAGTTGTTATTGATTTACATCATCCAAACTTTTTAGTTCTTCTCCCTCCCCCTCCCTTCTCTTCTCCCTTCCCTAGTTTCCTGCTTCCAAACCTTCCTTATGAACTTCCTACTAGAAAGAAACAGTGTGGTTGGCAAAAAATTGGTACTGTGAGCGTGGGAGAAACTGGTGAAACAGCCCCTGTAATTCACCTTATAGCTGTCTGTCCTGGCACGTGCAATTACATGTGGTGGTATTAAGTACATGCTTTGTACTTCACGATGATCAGCCATCTCTGCTTTTTGCTCTTATTCTGAGAGTTAATTTGTCTCTTTTGGAATGCTTAGCAGGAACTGATCTGCTCTCAAAAACTATGGTGCTGAATCTGAGGAAGGGAAATGTCGGCCTTTTACTAGATCCACAGGGGCTTTACAAACATGACTTCACGTTTGTGCGTAGTTTCCCTGTTCTCCGTCAATATTCATGAACAAATATTCTCAGAAAATCAGAAAATCTCATGGCCTCCCAAATGTGTCCAAGGTACTGTAACTTTGAACAAGAGACAAAGTAGCGCTAATGAAGCTCTGGCCAGTGGGAGGAGAGGGTCTGGGCATCAGAGATGCGTTATGGTGTGGTTGACAAAGCAGAGGTGTGGAAGAAAGGAGTTTCCTAGGTTTGTGTGGCACTCTTGAGGGGTTCACAAGCAGCTCTTGTGGTTTCTTTGCAAGCTTGGGGACAGAGGGAGTGGGTGAGCTGCCTGTAACACACGCTGTCTTGTACAGCTTGAAAGACAAAGGTTGTCACCCACCTAGTAGAAAGTAAGGCTTAATCACTGGGGAGCCAAATAATGCAATTATCCTCCTAGGTCAGTTTCTGGGATATGACCACTTCTCTGTTTTTCCTCCCAGCTTTGTTAATTTTAATGAAAATAGAGGGTGCTTTCCTTTTTTCAGCCTTGCAGAAGCCTTAATCTTTGCAGGATTCCCTAAACATGCATGATAAAAGAGAGGGTGCTTGTTCTGCAGGGTGCTTGGCTGTCTTCCAGAAAGTCTGTTGATGAGAGATGCTATTAGTGACCACAGAAGCAGCTGTAACTCTATGAAATGATTATTTCCAGGAGGCACTGCAGGCAATAAACCTCACAGAGCAATAGTGTTAAGAGTGTGTTTCCTCCAGGGTACTGCATGTCCCAAAGAGGGCAGTCAGAAACGCTCGCACCCACATGCTTCCACATCACTGGCACCAAGACCTCTGCCTGCTCTCTCAGATGCTGACTGCAGTCCCCAACAAAGGGGCTGTTACTGAGCAAAGCCATGTTCTGCCCTGATGTTCGAACAGTGCTGTGAACTTCCAAATGCACCAGAAATGTAATTCTAGGACTTCTCACCTTAATAGGAGACTCAGATATACATACACAACACAAGTGCCTGGTCACAACCCAGCAAAGCATCTTGAATTTCTGAAATTGGAAGTTTTACAAGAATCTGCTTAATGGGAATCTGCAGGACAAGACTAGACCTCTAGAAATCACTCTGTAAATAGTTTGAGTAATGAATAAACAGGAGGAAGCTGAAGACTCCTTTTAGTGTCTTCTGTTTGCAAATCAAATCAGAAGTCAGATAGACTACTCTTTGGGAATTATTTTTCCACTGTGCATATGAGACTCATCTCACGTAGTTATAAATCATAATGCTGCAATCATATCCATTTCTGTTTCTGCACTAGGACTTGCGAGAATGGTAGAAAGCAGTTTTGGATGGGATTTCTTATCCTATATCTGAGACGCTGCAGAAAAGAAACAATAAAACAAAACCCCCAAGCGTTTCCTGAGCGAGTAGAGTTGTCTTGCCTATTTCTCTTCTCTGGTAGCTTTTCGGTGTTGTGCAGAGATGCTGAAAGTACAATGACAATTCTGGCTATGAGCCACATAGGCCAATGGAGGAGATAATGAACAAAGCTGAATAACTATGCTGCTTTTAGCAAAGGAGGAGACAAGCTAGAAAGTAATTACAGCTGAGATGTTTGCTGGGATCCTTGCTGAATAGCAGTTGCTGCTGGCAGTCCTGGACTTCTTTGCATAATATCCTGACTGCAGCAGAGCTAAAAAGCAGAGCAGTGGGGCCCTGGAGAGACTCAGTCTCTATTCTCTGGCCAAAATTTCCTCACCTTCTCTGCCTGGGAGTGTGGTTTGTTTCTTTGGAAAGGCCAAATAGTGTCTTTACCACCTTTTTGCTCTCTTAATGTGTTCCTCTCCAGACATGTGAGCAGAGCCAAGGGGCTGTCTCTGAGACCTTACCCTGCCTAGTGGAGGGGCTGGATGAAGAAGGTCTGGACCAAGAGAGAGCCAGTTCAGGCTGCTGTGGTAGCTTATAGCCCAGTCTTATGAAAATCAAGCAGGTAGTTCCTAGCCTCACTCTGAACAAGGAAGATTGGTACAAAACCTAGTATTCAGCAGAGCAGCTTTGCTAGAAAAGTACATCACAGCTCCCACTGGTAATAGAGCAAAATCAGCTCTGCTGCCCGAAAGATTTCTCAGTGCCACTCCACAGATCAGCCTGGTTCTGCTGAACCAAATATGTTGTAAAGGCTGACCTCACTGTATTCAGCATGGTCCAGGCTGGCCCTGTCAAAGTGGGGCAGGATGCAAGGGGAAGGGAAAGCGATTCCCCCGCCACAGCACTGGCACCGCCCTAAGAGCTGCCTGTCTCACACTGCAGGTCCATCTGGCCCTGCTGCAGGAATCATGTTTGAAGCACAGGACTGGGAGTCAGGTGGACCTACGTTCTATTCCTGGTTCTGCCACAGACTCGTTGTGAAACTTGTGGAAGACTATCCATGCCTCATGGGTCTGTTTCTCCAGCGCACACACAAGGGAGGTAACAATTGCATCTCTTTTGGGGATCACGGTTTTGGCAAAGCCAATGGCAGTCCTCCAGTGGGAGAAGAGCCAAGCACTAGTGAATTAGCTTTCTGATGGGCATTTGCCTCAGGAGCTGTGTTGGGTCTAGCAGGTCTGAGGACAAGTTCTATCCCTCTAAGACTGGGGTATTTCAGCATGCTTGAGAAGGTTTA